GAGGGAACAGTAAAACTTTTGATATGATGTAACGAAAATGATACCTTACTTCTGTGATCTTCCTCCAAAAAACCCATAACTCCAATCTAATCATGAAAAAAGCATCAGACATATACCTATAGAGGAGCATCCTACAATATACCAGACCACTGCTCCTCAAAACTAAGGTCATCAAAAACAAGGGAAGTCTGAAAAAAATGTCACAGCCAAGGTAAGTCTACAGACATGCCAACTAAATACAAAGCAGCATCCTCAATGGCATCCTGGAACCAGAAAAGGACTTGAGGTTAAATCAAAGGAAACTAAACTATGGACTTCAGCTAATAATAATGTAACAATATTGTTTCATTAATTGTAAAAAAAAATATATACTAATGTAAGTTACTGAAAAGGGAAACCGAGTGCAGGAACTCTCTGTACAACCTTCTCAATTTTTCTGTAAATGTAAAGCGGTTCTAAAAAATAACATCTACTAAGAAAAAATTACCCTACACTTAAGAAAACTTCAATTCTCCCTGCCCAAAGTTATTTCTCCTTTTTATGATCTGCCAGAGCATTTATTTGTACTGTTTGACGTACCTTTCTAATGTTTATAACAGTTATATTATGGCAAAGATCATGAACCATTATTTTTGTAAACCGTCACCTCCCCTTCTGCCTCCATCTAAATAGACTGCCTTTCCCCTAATATGTAAATAAAATTTAAATGGCTAAACTAGAATTGAGATATCTTTCAACAGTGATTTCTTTAAAATTATTCTAGCTTATTAGTTCGAGCTGATAATTCTTCAAGTACAAAAAAACTACACAGTCATACTAACACAAAATGAGATTTGACATATATACTATTGTATAAATCGTCTTTCCAACTGGGATCCCGTATGCATTCTCTGTGATTCCAGAGCCCTTATGGAAAGTTTTTCAAACGCATTTTTTAATTTTTTAATTTCTATGATAATTTAGAAATGACTGACAAAACATTCTCAATTATACTGATAACCTAAATTCAAATACTGACAAGCAATGCTAACTCCCACATTTACCTTCACAACTATACTGATGCCAAGCAAAGCTACTTTTAGCAGCAAATTATTCATTCTCCAAAAGTGAAAACCAGATGAGACAATGTACAAAATACAACAGGGCTTCATACAAGTTCCGACAGAGAAAAACTGCAGGAGAATGAAGTCATGCAGCACATAGCAGTACAGGCATGTCAAATGAACTTCAGATGTCATAACCCTAACATCAGTCAAGTGATTCAGTTTGACAAAATAACATCATCCACTGTATTAGCATTAATTTTTGTATTGGCTTTAGTTTGGTTATTTATAAATGGAATTTGTTTTTTTTACCACATAGCACTAAGCTTTACTTAGCACTTATCACTATCCAACCTACTATATATTTTACTTACGTTTCTTGTTCTTTACCATTTAATATTCATTTCATGAAGGCAGGGAATTTTCCTAGCATAAAGTAAGTTCTCAATAAACATTTATTAAATATATAATTCACAAACTTATTTTCATTAAGTTTAGCCAACATGCATTTCAGTCACTTGAATGACTGCTAATATAATTTTTCAAACCATTTAATTATTCTTTCATACACACTTATACTGGTGATATAAATTAAGTATACACAATTGTCTCTCAATTCTCCTTAGAAGTTCATACATTATTCTTTGAAAGTATTCTGGCTTCATATTAATGTAATTTTAACTATCATCTGTTTTCTAGCTGTAGCAAAGTTATGTAGAAGGAATTTTACTCAGAGATGCCTGAACAAACTGAACGTCAGCACTTTAAACTCATAAATGAAAAGCTATTATGTTCACAAGAATATGTACAGTCGTACTTTAGGTTACCCAAAGGCACTTTAATACAGATACTACTTCACACTTTTAAACAGTTTACTTCAGAAATACACCAAAATACAACAATCTTGTCATCATTTAATGAAAAGGATTTACCTACTTTGAACATTTACTACTCAGATACAACTTAGACATTATGACAGATGAGGAAATACAGAAGGAAAAAAAGATCCATGCTCTCAAGGTATGTACGCATTGAGGGGTAGGGGCACTTAGAGACAATTCTAATGTGTTGTCATAAATATGATCAAGAAATACACAGAAACTCTATATATGGAAACTCTAAACATCTGGGCAACTGGGGAGTCAAACTGCTTTAAAGATTTAAAATGTTATTCAAATACAAGTTAGAAGTAATACAGTAATTCCTTACTGGGTACCTATTATGTGACAGGCACTAAGCTAGATAGGTAGACCAGATTCAAAAGTAAACAACACATACACTGTCCTCACAGAAATAGCAATCCAGACGGGAGGGCAAAATTTTCAAACAGAAAAAGACATGCCAAGACAAGTAGAATTGTATACTACTAACATACAGAGCAGTCAGCAAGAGCAATCTAAGGAAACATATAATACCAAGGAAAAATGCAGTTTCCTTTCTATTTTTTCAGCATTTTTTTTTAACATAAAGACAGTCAAGGGACTGGAGAGAAATTTTTAATTCAGAAAAAAAGCTCAGTGTTGATAAGTGAATTGATACTGATACTTTCTCTCTTATTTTCTCCCCTCACACATTACTACAGAAAGCCGTATTCAACTTACAGTATCTGTATTACAGTACTCATCGCACAGCCATAGGGGCACAAGTACTACTCCCTACAGAGGATAGGGCACCTACTATTTCTAGTCTGCCTGCTCCACAATGAACATATAATACATGTTTATGAAAAATTCCCTAGCCTTTTGGGTGGGAGCATTAAAAAACATTACACAACAGATCAGCTATGCCTCCCTGCTACGAGAAAAAAAGTATTTTCATGACAGCAGACATTTCTTATCTCCAACAACAGTGCAGAATACCAGAGGGTAACTAATAAAGGCAATGAAATTGGCCTTGGTCTCAGAATTAGAGAAAAATCACTTTTCCTTGCACTGGAACAGAGGCTTATCACTTTTAGCTACAGTGCTAACATTTTCCAAAACTACAGTTTCTGCCTTTCCTCTGTTGTTTATTTAAAGAGAAGCAGCAGCATAAACTCATGACCAGCAACAGAAAACAGAAGGTTAATAAATTATCATTTTTCTACATACCTACCACATCACCACTATGCACAGAATTTTTATACTAGGCAGATGACTCACGGCAGTGAAAGAACTCAGAGCTGGGTTCAATCCTAGGAAGTATCCACAATGCGGAACTAACTAAAAGCATTGTCTATTTTCTGGAAAAGCCCAGCAAGCTGCAGAATGTTTTTGTCAAAAAAGCATGTAGTAGGACAAAGAGACATCTTAACTAGGTTTACAACTCTGGGTTAAAAATTAACCCCAAAAGAGAGTATAAGACAGGAGCTCTCTGACTCTTTTTGGCTGCAGCATGCTGTTACATCATACCCTCACAGGAGTATCCAATGATACGCAGGACTCCAGGATAGCTTTACTAATCCTATTCACTTTTTGCAATCACTTACAGCAGCATAGGAAATGCAAACAAGTGACACTATTAATAGAGAAAACACTGAATTATGTCCAGTTCTTTTCTAAATCACAAACTCTCACAGCTAATGAGTGGCAAGATCTGGGGGCTGGGACAAGGGAAGATCTGAAAAAGAAATACATCAAGGTACACCTAGAATCTACGATCATCAGAAATACTACCACTCCTTTCAGTCTATTCCTCCAAATAACCTTTCTTTCTCACAATTCAATCTTGACACAGTGCTCTTCCTGAAATCTCTCCCTTTATCTGCCAAAAAAACTTATGGGGGAGGGGGGTGGCTCAGTGGTAGAGTGCAGTGCTTAGCATGCATGAGGTCCTGCATTCAATCCCCAGCACTTCCATTTAAATAAATAATAAATAAACCTAATTATCTCCTCCCTCCAAAAAATAAGTAAATAAATAACGAAGATAATGTTTTTCAAAAAAAAAAAAAAAAACTCATCTGGGATATAACAAACTTCTTTATTAACATTTACCAGACATCGTTCTAGCATATTCTATTCTTGTTCATCAAGCAGACTATTAGGATTATTAATTATTAATGACATTAACTTCTAAACACTGTGCACTTTACATGAATTACCTCATTTAATTTTTACAAACCTATGAGTTAAGTACTAGCACCCCTATTTTACAGATGAAGAATCTTAGGCTTAGAAGTGTTAAAAGGTTTACTTTACAAGACAATGAGAGCTGGGGAGAGGGTATAGCTCAGTGGTAGAGTGCGCGCCTAGGAAGTACGAGGTCCTGGGTTCAAACCCCGGTACCTCCATTAAAAATAAAGAAGTAAATAAACCTAATTACCCCCCCAAAAAAAGGCAATGAGGGCAGATGATGTTGCAAGGTTTGGGTAAAACACATGGTATACTTATTAACCATAATCATGTATTAATTCACTTTCAGGAAGAAGAAATGTTACAATATTATAACCAATATTTGGTGGTGGGGAGACAGGGTAACAAGCTAATAAGAAAGAAAATTGCTCTTGAAATTTTAGTACCTATTTTAAAAGGCAAATAGTAGGAAGGGTGTTTCTCTCTCAAGTGTCTGAGGGCTTTTGGACCTAGTTAAGTATATTCTTCTGAACAGTCCTTTCCACAGAGTGTTCCTCAACTCTCTCTGTTCAGTAGCTCATTAATTTAGACTCCACAGATATGCAATCGCAGATAATTCCAACTAAACGGAGATTTACCTTAGCATTCTGAAGCACTGTTTTTCCAAAGTATTGTTTTATGGAAAAGAAATTTTCCATTTGTAAAAAATTTGTAAGCTACACAGCAGATCACAATGTAAAACAATTCTTCCCACTGTCATGATGGGGAAAAAAATTCTGACAAACACTGCTCTAAAGGTCTGCCAAAGAGGTAACCTCCATTCCTTTGTTGTATTAGAGAGTGAGACACTCCACTCAGATTTAAGACAACCAAAAGCTTCCACTAGGCAATTTTTAAGCTATGATGCATACCATCTCTTCAAGACCTCCCCATCTTCTTAAAACTGAGTACAGAAAACACAACTGAACCATTTCTTTGGTTAAGGTAAACGTAATTTAACCAAAAAAGTATTAAGAAAAGAAAATTATTACTCTGTACTATTTTAATAAAACAAGGTCATTTAGGAACTCACCTTAAACTACACAGTCTTAAATTGCTTTTATCTCCTTTATTCTTTTTACACAATCACCTGATTCTCTCTACTACACTATCTGGCATCAGCATGCTCTAGCATCTGGCAACTTCTCCCCTAATTCACATCTTCTAACCTGTAGGACAGGAAAGCAAATAAGCAGCCATTCATATCAGACTAGCATCTGAAATAAAAATAAATAAACTCAGTACATGGACTGTGAGACATTTTTTGGCTTAGAGACCTTCCCTTTTGGCTTACCTCGTATTTCAGAAAGTTATGAATGGTAGATAAAGATCCCCCAGACAGTGAAGATGATTTAATAAAAATAATTAAGGGGGGAAAGGGGGAATTAAAGGGTGACAGTAAAGGTAAAAAATTATTAAATGAAAGCTATTAAAGGGACCACCACACAAGTAAACATAAATGAGAATGAAGAGCTACTGAGAGTTTTAACCATTACAGGACACATTAGCAACAAAATGGATAAATAAGCTCAAACATTTTTATGCTGGAATACTACTCAGCAATAAAACTGAATGATGTAGTGCTACATATGGATGAATAACATGGATGAATCTCAAATGTGTTGTTGAGAAAAAGCAGCCAGACACAAGAGTATACAGGGTTCCATTCTATAAAGTTTTAAAATAAGCAAAACTAATCTATGATAATGAAGATTAAAAGAGTGGTTACCTTTGGGGAAGAGGGTGGAGGTAACAACTGGGAAGGGGCACTAGGTGCTTGAGGAGTGCTATGACTATCCCATTTCCCAATTTGAGGTGGCATTTACAAAATGTGTTCACTTTGTGATAAGTCACTAAACTGCTAGCACACTTACAGTATGTGGATTCAACGGTGTTCATGCTACACTTCAATGAAACAAAGTTTACTTAAAAACAAAAATCATCATGCAAGGGACTTCTAGTTAAAGAATTCAGTTGAACAACTAAGTTTATCTCTGCTCCCTTCCAACACCTCTGAAATAAGAGTAAAGAAATTAAAAGTCACCCTTAAGAACAAATAGAAGTATGGCAGACTGTACTTTCCAACACTGACCACAATAACACTCCCCTCCCACCCCCTCAGACATACTCTTCTGCAGTCTGACCACTGTGCCACTGTCCCATACAGATGACATTTCTGTCCCCTCCCCTAGGATCTGGTTGGGGCTTGTGACTGTTTTGACCAATAGATTACGGCAGAAATGTCACGTTGTGGCTTCTGAGGAAAGATCATAAAAGGACATACAGCTTCCACCTGATTCTCTTATTAACCCAAGCTGCCATGTAACAAGCCCAACTGCCTTAAAGCAACCACGCTGGGAAGGCCACATGTAGGCCTGTGGGTTGACAGCTGCAGCTAGGCCCAGGCTTCTAGCTATCCCTGTCAAGGTGCCACATATATGATGAAGAAGCCACCTTCAAAGTAGATCCTATAGCCCCAGCTGTTGAAGTTTCCCTCTACCATGAGTCATCAGGCCCTAATCATGTGGGGCCAAAATAACAAAACAAAAAGGACATCACTGTTTGCAAATTCCTAACCCACAGAACCTATGAACATTTAATAAAATGGTGATTTGGGGGTGGTTTCTTATAGAGTAAGATAACCAGACCAGAATGGGAGAGGACAGTAAACAAAGCAGATCAATAAACTTTTGAAAGACAAAATGCAGATAAAATGCCAAGTGTCTTAGGTTTCAGACAAGACAGAAACCCATCCAAGCAGTAGAATACTAGACAGGTCCAAGATACAGTAGCAAGAACTGAAGAAAGGAAGATTATGAAAAAAACAGAATGAGAACTAGTTAAATCCCTAGATCTCCTCTAGATCAGGCTGCCAGGGAACTGTCTCTCCCCTATTCTCTCCTCCCCCATACCAACAAAAGGCCAAACATTTAAATCTAGAGATGCTGGATAGAAACAGAAACACCAAGCACAGAAGTGAGGGATGTCACATAGTCCACTTCCCTATTTTGGCTACCAAGGCACTAGGCTAGTAGGCCAGCACCAGGATGGGGGTGACACGAAGTCCCAGAATGCTAGCTGTCCAACAGGCCTAGCAGTCTATACAACCACAGCAATCTGTCAAGGATACACTTAATTAAAAAAAAAAAAAAAGCAACTATAAATCAATGTGTTTGACCATACTGCAGCTACATACATGAGAGAGAGAATTAAAACTAAACAAAAGGCCTATTTACTCCTGAAAAAAAAAAAGGAAAGAAAATTTCGTACATTAAAAGGAAAAGTAATCATAGTGAAAAGCACTTGTTTATATAGTCTTCAACACTGATTTAACCCAACATCATAACACTGTGGGAGAATAGGAAAATATGGGGGCAAATGGAGCAGATAGGTGGGAGGTTATCTTCCACTGTGGAAAAATATCTAGCTATCCAGCCTTCTAGCTATCCCTGCCAAGGTGCAACAGATATGATGAAGAAGCCACCTTGAAAGTAGATCCTAAGGGGAGGGTAGAGCTCAAATGGTAGAGCACATGCTTAGCATGCACAAGGTCCTAGGTTCAATCCCCAGTACCTTCTCTAAAAATAAATAAACCTAACTATCTCCCCCACCCCTGCCAAAATAAAATAATTAAATAATACAGTAATAAATATTTTAAAAAGGTAAATATCTAAAACCTTAAAAATCAACAAGCACCAGCATTGGCTATATAAAATATGATGATAAATACTAGAAAAAGGAGCTACAGAAATGGAAAGGGGATGCCTTTGGGAAATAGAAGCATTCTTTTTACTTAAAAGTATACTAGAACTCTACACTTGATGTGAATTATGTATCAATAAAGCTATCACTAACAAAAAAGGATGAATTAAATTTTAAAAAGAAAAAATACTCTGGGAGCACACAGAGCAATTGGTTCCACTTTTATAGGATAAGGGAAACCTTCATAAAAGGGAAAAAGGGGCCGCTGAAAAAGTACTGAAATAAAAATGACACAAAGTATAGAGGAAGAAATTAAAAAGTTTTATGGGGGCCCAAATGCTGAGGGACATCAGATGCCACTCCAGTCAATAGGAAGAAATCAAAGGTTTTTGAGTAGGTAGTTAGCACTGAGGGGAGTACAGATTTTTCTCTCTGAACAGACCAAAATCTTTAAGTGTTAGACTACTACAAAATCCAAGGAAACCAAGAGGCAGAGAAAAAGAATTATAGCCAAAGTACATATACAGATGTCTTTGAGCATTTGCATTTGTCTCTAATTTTTAAAACAAAGTTATAAACTTGTAATTTTAAACGGTCAAGAAGGGAATGATGGTAAATTTGACTTTAGAACAATGTAAACATTTTACAACCATGTGAATCTTTTAAACGTTACAATGTAAAACATAAAAAAAAAATTACAAGTTAAAAAATCCACCCCTAAAAAAGCCAAAAGCAAATTGAAACAAACAAACCTTACTGTGTAGCCAGTTGATAATATAACCAGACAGAGAATGATTATTTTAAGGAAGTTTAAAACACAGTAATTTGACCAAACATTCCCAGTGGAATATATCCTAAGGGCAAAAAGAACTACAAAAAACCCTCAAGCAACAAAGAGTAACCACATCGTGGTAATGTTGGTATTGTTATTCTAACACCACTAATAACGTGTATAGTCTGTGATAAAAACAATCAGGTAATTATGCTACTGTCTTTGAGAACCAAAATTTTCATCAAGGAAGAAAATTCAGTGACAAAACCACTGCAGTTTGTGTATAAACTGAAAGATCTGCATTAAATCATAATTTTACCTTTAAAATAAAGAATGCAGAGTGACATTAGTGAAAATGGTGGAGCAAGGACCCCCACCAATTCTTCTCCAGTGAGAAAACTAGCAAATATTGTCATAATCAACTTTGTAATAACTCTAGAAGCTAACCAAAAGCTTTCAGAAGTCTGGGAAGGGTTTGCTCAAGAGAAATGGCTGAATCTTGGTAAAAACAGAGAGCTTTGTGGCTTTTTAACTTGCCCTAGTCCCAGTTTCCCTCGCCATCTTCCACAGTAGACTTGAAAACTAACAGCATGGACTTGTGATACAAGCCAGCAGCCTGAAAAGCCAGCAAAGGATGCTGACGCTCCTTCCAAGACTCATTTCCAAGAAATCTGTAATTATTTAACCTGTCTGATGGTTTCCTGA